CAATTTAATCCATTCTTTTAAGAGACGTCTATCTTTGTCGTATTTTGTACAATAGAAAATAAAATGTTTAATTGTTTCATCTTCTTGACAAACTTCACAAAGACCAGTATCGTGTTGGTTAATTTGAAAAAGGTAATAATTTAAACTACAGTTACCTACTCTTAGTTGTTGTATCAAGCATTCTTCTCTGCGAGATAGGCCTTGTCTATGTATGGGCTTTGAAACGTCGCTATGCAAAGCATATAAAAATCTACCGTGTTCTGCATTGTCCCATTCTGCTTGCCATAATTTGTTATAATGGATCAAACGAGAGGATGCCAATTCACTTCTTGTATTTGGTATAACTATGTCTATACACCTTTTCATGGCTCCTTTTTTGGCAGCCCGATCTACGATCTCATTGCCCCTAATATCGCAATGTGACGGAATCCATTCAAAAGCAACACAAACATCCTTAAACTGCAAAATATTAATTATGGATAAAATTTCATTTACAATAGCACATCTAATAAAGTATGAATCGATCATTTGTAAAGCTGACAAAGCGTCGCTAAAAATAATAATAATAATACATATGATTTATAAGGCGCCAAATCCACTTGACAGTCAAATGCTCAAGGCGCAGCTTGTGCAAAAGATGAAATACATACTTGATACATTTATACAAAGTGCGATAAGAAAGGTACAGACATGAAAGGTAATGGTAATCAATTATAAGCTAAATTAAACAGATATTTCTTAAGATTGTTTTTTAACACCTCAGCAGAACTGCTATTCTTAACCCATTGAGGGAGAGTATTCCATAACGAAGGCCCAGCATGAGCGAAGGTTCGTTCCCCCCACTTTGTTTTAACCCTAGGAGTAACAAGTAAGCCAGAGTTTTGAGAACGTAGCTGTCTAGAAGGAAAGTAATGCTTAATCAAGCCGATGTTATACTGCGGAGCAGAGCCATGTATACAGTGAAATAATAGCAAAATAATCTTGAAAACAACACGTTTTTCTACGGGCAACCAATGGAGTGATTTGAGGACTGGTGTGATGTGACTGTACTTGTTGGACAGGGTCACGACACGAGCAGCAGCATTCTGTAATCTTTGTAATTTTGCGAGTAGGTTGTGAGGCGAACTAAACAAAAGGCCATTACCAAAATCCAAGCGAGAAGAAATCAAAGCATGAGTAATTTTCTCGGTGGCACCACGGTTAAGATATTTACGAATAAAACCCAAATTGCGTAACTGATAACGTACTGATTTTGAGACATATTGAATTTGAGTAGACATTTTCATGTTTGAGTCGAGAAACACACCAAGGTTGCGACATACATTAGATAGGGTAATTTAATGTCCAGCAAGAGTAATTGAAGTGATGGAAGAAATCTTCTCTAACTGAGTCTCAGAACCATACATTATAAATTCGCATTTGGCGAGATTTAATTTCAGTGAATGTGAGTTTAACCAATTATGAACATCTTGTACACAAGTCTCAATGTAATGGAGAGCGCTGGCTGCATTGCTCTGATTGGGTTTGAAAGAAGTATATATTTGAATATCATCAGCATAAACATGATAAGAGAGAGAATGGCGATGAAAAATACTCTTCAAACCCGTTAAATATAACGAAAAAAGCGTGGGCCCGCCCACAGAGCCTTGTGGAACTACCACCGAAGAGGATTCAATAAATGTATTAATCCACTCTAGTGCCATTAGTATGGCCACTAGTTCTGCTCTCATAATACAGACATGGGATAATCTAAAAAATTCACCACATTATAATGAGACACATAAAATGCGGCTCCTGTCTTCCCATCCTCGAGTTTAGAACCATCTGTATATATATGTAAAAACCCATTCCATGAATTTCCAATGCTATCTAGAACAATCGATTTTATTTCAAATGGAGGCATTTCCTTTTTTTGCACTTTGCCATGGTGTTCGAAAGACACTTGTGGTCGTGCTAACCGCCATTCTGGGATTTTCGGCAATAAGTTGGTTTGCCCTTCCACCACTACTTCGTCTCTAAAGGATCGCAGTTTAAAAGGTCCTTCTCCTATCTTCCATTCTAAGTTATTTAAATCATAGTCATCACCCAATACTTCTTTTGTTGGGTGGTTTAAAGTACTAGACAGTAAATAAACTCGAAAGTTTATAGGTATTTGGTTTGAACGTAGGTGGCGTTTTACGAATTGTAGACGTGGCTCGTAATTTGAAAGTGGAAAGTTCCAGTGATATTATTAATTATCTATTTTGGTTATAAAACAGTGAAAGATAACCAGTTCATGCATTTAGAGCAATTTAGAATGTGGTATATATAAAATATGATCGCTTATATCGATCCTTAAAGAAATATTAAATATATGATGAATTGTAATGTATAAAATTGTTTCATCAAAAAATGCGATGAACAGGGCTTTAAAATTGTTACTTGTAAGAACCAAGGAGGGCAAGTGAAGTTTATAGTTTGACGATTTGGTGATATAAATGAAAGAAATGACTATATATTTCTCATTTCTTTGTTAGTTATACATGTATTTTTCGTATGGTCATTAAAACTAGATTTAGTCTTTGGAGATTATGTTATGTGATATTGACATGATAGAATATTTAGATACAATCCAAAGTATATTGTATTTTTATGAAATACAGAGTTTAGTTGAATTCAGTTGTAACCCTTATGAGAATAGGAAAGGAAACTCTTATACATGTTTTTTAGAGAGTGAATTCATTTATTGGTAACATAACACATACATATATTTATGAGTCCTTTGATTTATATCTTTGCAGATTTGAATACAATAAAATATCCGAATTCAAGTGGCAATCTGGTACGGTAAACTGAGTTCCCAATTGTTTCAATATTTAAAATACTTAAGATTAAAGAAATTTCAAATGTTCACTTACATTAGATCACACAACTTCATGGTGACATGGTACATACAATGTGGCATAGTGTGATTATTCGTTTTGCATGCATTGTATAAAAAGAACATTGGAATTTAACATTATGCATTGAGCATCAGGTGAGTTTTAAGCCCAGTTTTAAAAGTAGAATGACAGTTAATAATTATGCAAAACAAACAACAACAACAGCAAGTATACAGTCTACATTAAGTAGATGTGCACCCCACCCCCTATCTCTCTCTCCCCCTATATATCTCCTCTCTTTATCTCTCCCTATCTTTCTCTCTCTTTACCACACTTACAGCCTTTTCACACACAGCTAAAATTCATCGTATCTAGAGATGATTAGAATCACTCAACAGTTTTAAACATGTTTATAGACAAAATTTCCCAGTGTGAACATCGTTTATACGATGTTGGGATAGATACGAAGTCGCGATCCATACGCCCCTAAAAGCAGGCTGCAGATACGAAGTTCGTATCTAGAGAGCTTGACATTTTGTGTGTGAAAGGAAATTCGTGTTTAAACGTGTTTAAACTGGATGGAGCGTGCGCTTTGATTGACATGACATGACCTTCAATGCGCAATGGCACTACTGCGCATTTTACGAGCAGTAGTTAATCACGAAACTATTAACGATCGCAACGAAATTTCTGTGTGTGAAAGGCTCGTGATTAGTTTAAAGATAAACTTTAGTACTGGTAATGCGATTGCATTGTGAAAGAAAAGGTGTGAAAGGATCAGAAACAGTTGATCATGGAGCATGTAATTATTGGTGTGCACTGCAAGGTTCTGGAGTCATCAAAATCATAATAAATTTGACCGAGTCTTGGTAAAGTAACAAACACTCACATAGAAAGCTATATATGGGACAACACACATGTGTCGGGGATGGTACTACCTTGGTTTCCTTGTCTTTCTATGCTCATTACTCAGCCAGTATACATTTTCTTCCAAAATTGTTTGGCACATGTCATTTATTTGTAATCTTGAACATTCAGTGTAAGTTTCGTTTGATTCTGTGAGAATTAATTTTTTTTTTTTTTACCAGTACTGGAGTTTATCTTTAAACACGTTCGAAACACGTTTATACTAGTCATGTTTATAGAATTTTAGCTGTGTGTGAAAAACTCCTCTCTCTATCTTTCTCTCTCTCCCTCTCTCTCTCTCCCATTGCCTCTATCTCTCCCCTCTTTACCACACTCACTCCTCTCTCTATCTATCTATCTCTCTCTCTATCTCTCCCCCTCTTTACCACTCTCTCTCTCTCCCTTTTCCCTATCTCCCCCTCTTTACCACACTCACTCTTTTCTCTCTCTCTCTCTTTCTCTCTCTTTCTTCTCTCTCTCTCTCTCTCTTTCTCTTTGTCTCTCTCTCTTTCTCTCTCTCTCCCTCCCTCCCCCCTCTCTCTCTCCCTCTTTCTCTGTCTCGCTGTCTTTATCAATGTTACAGTACCACTATTGTTCTTTACAAGACTTATAATACTTGATGTTATTTCTTATTGTTTAATCCCAATATCCCTCTCTTATCCTTTCTAATATTTTCTTCTGTATCGACACCCTTTCCCTTCTACACTATCTCTCATCTACTCCTTTTCATACTCGAAACACGATAGCATTCATTGTTTTCGACTTGCATTCGACTCGAGGGCAATTTCAATACCAGATGTTTATCCCAAAGAATATTATACATCTTTGTTGGCCCGAATTCACAAAGCAAGGTTTGAGCTCAGACCAAGGTTTGAGCTCAAACCTCCTTTTGTTTTTTACAAACCAGGTTTGTAAAAAACTCGTAAAACGCGTCATATGACGTACGAAAACCAAGGTTTGTCGACAAACCTCCTTTGTGAATTCGGTCCATAATGTTCGCACATTTCAGAAGGCAACGGACGTTAAGGTTATTGTAATGACCTTAGGTTGATTTTTCCAAAGTCTTTGCGGTCGCGTTTTAATGTCGTTCATGTTTTCTCTGGTTAGAATATAAGTGGTACGTCGTTTAAAAAAAATCTAAATTATATAGTACTTTGTTTCATGTTACTACACATTGAAAGGCAAAGTTCTTTGAACACGACACAAGCAGACAAATGATTCCACCATTATAACTATTTTTATGATAGTTGGGTGCAAATTTATTTCCATGGGTTATTATAGCGGGTGCAGTTTAATTTGAATCAAGTTTATTTATTATCTTTCACATGACAAAAGAGCTCTGGCAATACCGAACGAATAGGTCTGGTTGATTAATAGACGTTAATACTGCCACACCATGGACTAAAATAAGTCCACGGACACACCATGCAATACGCATAAGGATTATATGCACAAGGAAATGAAAGAAAAATCAAGGCAATTGTGTAATACAGTCCCCGTCGTTATACCTGGCTTATGCCAGTACTGGAATAAACAAATGAGAATTAATCACGAAATATGAACTACTCACTCATCTTAGCAGTAAGCAGAACATTGTAATATCCCGATTTGGAGAAAATTATCCGAGCTCATGCAGACTAAACCGCATAGGGGGTATTACATAATAACATTTGCTATACCATACATGTACTCTGACCAGCCTAGCTATTATATTGTTTCATCTATTTATATTTTAAAAAAACATTTGAAAACATACAAATAACAATGGTATATTAGTATATGTAATTCAAACAATAGAAGATTAAGATTAATAGCATAAAAACCAATGCAATCACACTATCAATGAACAATAATGACAATGATAGGTCAAATGTGACTAGCCACCAATAACACAGATCGAAAAGTTAGAGCTTCAAAAGTTTAAAAAACTGAGGAGGTTCAAAAGTTCAAATTTTCAACAAAAAACTAAAATATGAGTTCAAAAGTTCAAAAGAAATTTTAAAATAGTGTATGAATATAGCAACGAATGAAAGAGAGGGAAAATGCCCGTGTAAAACGTATAACCAATAGAAGGATACAATAAATTCAAAATACTCAAACAGAATCATCAAACATTGTTGATTGAGAAAATCTCTGTAACACAACAACGCAAAGACTCAAACATCACAAAATCTATGGACTGTAGTGCCGTGCAGCAGTATCGACTAGGTCCTGGTAACATTCTGGCACTCCTGGCTCATGAACGTAGTTGCAGACGCAGTCAGTGGCTGGGTTGCAGCATGGTACGATGGAGTGGTCAAAGGTGTCCAGGAGAGGTGTCCCCTTGACCAAGACAGCCTTGTGTTCCTCCACCGTGCTCTTGATGGTCAGGAACACGCCTTCATGTCCGCAGGTTTCCAGAGGATACGCTTCACCGGGGTCCTTATCGAGATCGAAGAGAAGAGGTGGGTCGTGCTCGGTCACGCAATCTCCCTCACACTCGTTGCAATCGAAGTAGTCTTCAAGCGGGAAACCTCCAGCGCATTCTTGACCGTACTCGTGCTGACTGAGGACGCGTTGGGTCCTGAAATGGGCCTTGTACTTGCCGACGCGCACAGCCATTATGGTGTCCTTGCAGTAGTAAAAGAAAGAGGAATGAGGCGAGGCAGAACCATCGAGAAGAACGTCCTTGATGCTCTTTCCGTCGTAGATACGGTCTGTGGGAAGAGTGGTGCCTCCGAGGTCAGCTGCAGTAGCGATGATGTCCATGGATGTGACGATCTCATTGGAGATTCCAGGGCTGATAGTTCCAGGCCAGTACACGATGTAAGGGATTCGATGTCCGCCTTCCCAGGAATGAGACTTGCCACCTGTAAAAAAAATAATGGTTTAGGAGAATTCATCATGATCATCGTCATCATCATGATCATCATCATCATGATCGTCGTCGTCTAAGGTCCGCCCCCCCCCCACACACACACACACTACGGTGTTGGACGTTTTATCTTCTCGATGGCCCTTCTCCAAGCCATCCGGTCTTTAGCATACATGTTATATACCTGATTTCTAAAATGACAAAGAGAACAATAATTGGGTCATTTGTGAACACATTATTTATATTAATGGTAGTCCTGCCATGAATCGTTACGAATATCGTTATCATGCTCATTTCATTGTCTTGTTTTTTAATTCCACCTTTCACATGATACATCAAAACACCGAATTGGAGTTCAACACAAGGAATATTGTGGCATGAGCATCACTGGCATTACACATAATTCATTTGAGCACATAAGGTGTATGGGCACATTATTTTGTGCCAGGGGCTAACGCTTCGACTGAAAATAAATTTCCAGTTTCTAAATTTTTGGAGCTAGCGAAGTAAAGTTATTGTATCATGCATTGTCAAAATATTGTCCGTCATCTAATTGCTCAATGTGACTCTTGCCTATAACCCTTTAAAATCATAAGAGGGGCTGATGCCCCCAGCACCCCCCCCCCCCCCCCCCCCCCCCCAACTCGTCAAGCATGAAATATGTGAATGCACACAGACGGATGAGCCCTAATGTGCCGAGAGAGATAGAGAGAGAGAGAGAGAGAGTGTGTGTGTTCGATTGTTCTCATTTACACTAATGAAGTAGCAAATGAAGATTAATGTCTTGCCAAAGGCCGTCAGTGTCGAGCTGGGATTCGAATCCTCAACACTTGGATTGAGAGTCAAGTGAATGAACCACTCTACTACATAACTGATATATTTACCTCGGAACATACTGGCGTATCCTCCTTCTTCGCAGTATTCACGATGTGGTCCGTGGTCAGAGATGAAGAAGATGATGGTGTTTTCCGAGATGTTGTTTTCCTCCAATTTGTCAACGATGTCTTTAACAGCATCATGCATCTCCAAGAGGTTGTCTCCGTATCGACCTTGTGGGAGAGCAAAACATGAGGTATAGGGGAGTTTGTTAATGGTCTGTTTTTACGTGACTGCTGAGAAATGCTTGTAGGAAAGCAAGCAGGGGACCGACTGTTTTAAGTCATCTCCGAGGGACGTGGTAAGGGAGATTGATAGCTTGCCAAAGGTCACGAGCGCATTGATTTGTTTTCGAACCAGGGACCTGCCGGTTACAAGACGACTGCTTTGTACAACCGAGCCATCGCGCATCCACAAGTTGTCAACAACGTAACGCGAAAAGACGTTGCCGAGTGTTTCGTGAGACATAATAGCTGTTCTGAAACCATTTTGTTTATGGATCTTACTCTGCCACTGCTTGGTATAACTCTTACACTGACCCTGTGATCATGGCATCTCAAAGCGCTTTGCTCTAGTGGAAAAGGCGCAGTACAGATTGTATCTATCACTTTTATTGTTAAAAAGGTCCTTTAATAGAATTGATCATTCTTAGAAGTAAGAAGGTAAGACGAAACATAATTATGTCAAGTAATATACTGTATATAAGTAATATATAATACGTAATGTATCATTCATTATAATGTAACAAGTTTTCTACAGTTTTTGTGCACACCGTTCGGTAAAATAGTTAAAGAAGTGAGGCTTTTGAAAACTAAGAATTATTCCTGTTTTGGTAAATTCTCAAACAAGTAAAATCCTTGGCAGTTAAGAGAACAAAATATGCATTATGCAAGATGCTAAACTATAGTGAACTTTGTTATTCAGTTAATCTAGCGTGGTCAGTTTTATTGTTTGGATGTGTTTTTAATGCTAAAAAAACTTTTCGAAATTCAGTCACCGGCTATGATGAAATTAAGAAACCATTGAATTCAATAATCGTCGCCCTTTCATCAATCGTTTAAAAAGCCTTGCATTCTCCTCGGAGACAAATATTAGCATCAACATAATTATCTAGTCCTTTTGCGCTATTTCGTAAAGCAGGATTTTGTTGTCATCATGAAGATGAAAAACATTACAGGTTTAAACTAAATGTAGAATCCGTTGTCCTCCGTGGATTGTTTAAAGACCCCGTCGGAAGTGAAAAATGAAATTGATGAATTTTATGTCAACAAAGGAAAGCTTACAAGCCACAGATTACAATAATACCAATTATATGCTATTTAAGTGCCTGTCAGACGAAAATGGGAAAATGAGCCTTTCGAAATACGAGTCCCTCCCTCCCCATCCACCCCCACAATATCATTTTTGAAACACAGCGTTAATCTTACCCCGACGTGAAGTACAGGAGTAATCATCGCTGCTGAAGAGACTCGTGTGCATGTGTGCGAAAGCGACGTAGAGGAAGAAAGGGTCGGCGTGGTTGTCTTCAATGAAACCAAGGGCGTCGTCGGTGAAGAGCTGAGTGAGTCCCTTGTGTTGATACGGTTGGGAGACTAGGGTGGCGTTGACGTAGAGGTAGCATTTTTCGGTATCTGGGAAGTCCTTGTGAAGCTGAAACGGCAAACGTCAAGATACGTAGAGAAATGAAGCTTAAGTTTGTCCGAATTTCGTTTTGTTTAATAAAATCATCTGCAGTGGACCACAATGTCCGATTAGATGAGCCTTCAATTTCAAGATAATGAACGATACAATAGGCTGCAAATCGTGGTGACTTCATCCAATCGCACGACTGCAAACCGACGTTTTGCCGACTCTGCCTTTTCCCCGCCTACTGGAAGGCTTAAAATACCCCCCCCCCCCCGCCCACAACATTACCTAAAACAGACGAACAACTCACATATTTGATATTCAAAATCTAATTCTATTGCAATTCTTTATGTGATTCACTCTTTGTTGGGTCGTAGGATGGTAAAACACAAACTAGACAGATCGAACCACAAAAATATCTAAAAACGTCAGATGCGGATCGGATGAAAGCTTTAACAATCTTCATCCTAATCCCTTTCTGACCAATTAAACGTGTGACCTCGTGAATACAGGGGCGGATGTAGCTTTTTGCCAAGGGGGGGGGGGGGGTGACCCAGTGGCGGATCCAGCATTTTCCAAAAATCGCGCCATTTTACTGTTATGTATACTTCTTTTCTTCTTTTTTTCCCTTTTTTCCCTTCTTTTTTTCTCCCCTCTTTTTTGTATTCACTTGGCGTCCCAAGGGAGGGGGGGGGAAAGGGTTTTTAACCGCCAAAACACCCCCCCCCCCCTAGATCCGCCCCTGGAATAGAACTTACCCCCGTATCGTCACAACTCCAGCTATTAGTGAAGGGGAGGTTATGACCAACAAAGTCGAATCCATGGTTGAATGGAAGATGGGCGCCGTCGGTAGTAGAGTTCTCATTGATACCTGGTAACAAGATGGTAATCGAAATTAAATTTGATGAGATTTTGATGGAATTATATTTTGATGAGATAATAAATGAAAAAATAGCGACAGTTTAATCCTTAACATTGTTCATTGTTCATACGGAAACAAATATTATCGTAGAATAATCCAGAGTCGGATACAGGGGATGCAACAGGAGCATCCAAGCCAAAATTTAGTTAATGCACCCCTCATCATAGAGACCGGGCGCAAAACTTTCTCTGATTAGCAACAACAAAACATTTTTTTTTTAATCAAACAGCAACAACAACAACGACTAAAAGAGCAAACACAAAAAATGGGGGTATTTACATTTGATGTGTAAATTAATTAAAAAATCTTTGAGGAAGGGTACTTTCTTTTGTCCTTTTTAAACTTTAAAATAGCCCATCGGGGATCACATGCCTTGTGTGTCCCACTAAATCCGCCATTTCATCCCTCTTCTTTTAAAGGCCCACTGCACTACTTGCAGCTACTTGCGCCCTCTATATAACAAACAATGCCTAATCGGTGACCATTGCTCCCCCATGATCCTCTTTTTCTTATGTTAACTGAGAGCTGAGTTGATGAGATAACCACCTGTCTAGTGACCTTGCAGGGCAGTCTAATCCCTCCTATAAACTACGGCAGATAAGCTTTAAACAAATAATATTGATCCTTACCAAGATGCCACTTTCCGACCATGCCTGTTGCGTAACCGGCCTGCTTCATGGCCTCAGCAATGGTGAGTTCGCTCTTTGGTAGACCGGTCTTGGTCCAGGGCAGGAACACGCGGGTCTCTCCGTAGGTACCAATACGAACAGGTAGACGACCTGTATAAAGAGGAGAGAGAGAAAGTGAAAGGGAAAGGAGAGAGAGAAAGAGAGAGAGAGAGAGAGAGAGAGAAGAGAGAAAGAGAAAGAGAGAAAAAAAAGAAGGGAAAGGAGACAGAGAGACAGAGACAGAGAGAGAGGGAGAGAGAGGGAGAGAGAGAGAGAGAAAGGGGGCACACAGAGACAGTGGGCACACCGAGAGGGAAGAGAGAGAGAGAGGGTGAGGAGAGAGAGAGAGGGAGAGGGAGATGAGTATTTTGTTCTTTTACATTAGCTCGAATTAAGCAGGTGATCTTCATATAGGCGTACAGATTACTTTGGTACATGTTTCATGTGTGACACTTAAAGGGATAGTTGAGTTCTGTTTTCAGACCGCAAATGCTTTTAAAGTGCATGCTTATTGCTCTTATTCTTATGACATTTCTAGTGCCTTTTAGAACCTAAACTTGCTATAAAGGTAATTTTAGACCCGAAAATGTGTGAAATTTAGCCAATACGATCATACCAATTCAGCTCCACTTTCAAAAAAATACGGTGACCGTTAATTAATTAATTAATTAAAAATAACAATACGTAATACGTAATTACAATGCGTAATATAACCAACACGAAAATGCCAACAAAAAAGCCAACATCGGCATTGGCTGAAATACGACGTAAAAGGCGCTATTTCGGGTTTTCGGGGGGGGGGGGGGGGGGGGGGGGGGGGGGGTGTAAGAAAGAGGACACTTTTTTTTTTTTTTTTTTGTCTCGAAATTTGAAACATTGACATTTTGCTCCGTTGGGGGGGGGGGGGGGGGGGGGGGTAAGGTCGCCTTTTTTAGGTCAGCCATGGGAATAATTTTTGTTTTTATTATTTATTTATTTATTTGTTATTATTAAAAAATAAAATAAAAACCCAATGGGGGGGGGGGGTTTAGTTTTTTTTAGGGGGGTTTATACACATAAAAATACAAAAGGGGGGGTTAACCCCCCAAACACCCCCCCCCCCCCCCCCCCCCCCTGCGTACGCGCCTGATCGTTCGTACGAACCTTTTTAACGGTCACAAAGGTTCGTACGAACGATAATTTCGTACGAATCTCCGTTTTTCCATTGTCTTCCCGGATTTGCATTGTCTGAAAAATCGTTCGTACGGCGTTCGTAGCAGTTCGTAATAGCATTTGTGACCGAGGCTTTAAACAAAATTACAACCCCGAAATCGTGAGCTTATGATGTCCATGTATAGACCCCGCCATGCCGGGTTGATCATGGTCTCATTTTGGGCATCTTCACTGCGGCGTCTGATAGTTGATAATCATTCTATTTATCTGAAGATGCCCTTCGTCACAACTAATCTCTAATCCCTAAATCCCCAATCTCTTTAAACCCATAGGCCCGTGCCTCTAATGAATAACACTCATCAAGAAGAGTTGCAAAGACTTTCGGGGATTAAAAAAAAAAAGTCTTTGCAATGATTTGCTAGATAAACGCGATGTCGCGCTGAGGAACTGTACATTGTGCTAAGAATATCTTGCTTCTTGTACTTTGGTGGGGAATCTCGAAGAATAGAATAGACCTCTCAGAATATTAAACTAAAGTTTTTTATTTTTGTTGGTTTTTTTTCTTTTTAGGTCACAAGTCACATGACACCCAGGTCGAATCATTTTGATTTACGTCACATTCTAAGGCTTTATTTTTGTAAATCCTGTCACTTTTTGTTCAAGAGGGATAGACGAAGTAGAGATTTGTACTTCGCGAGGTAAGCTCTTTAGATCTTTAAGAAACTTCTTGCTTCTTACTGAATACGGACTAGATTAAGAGTAATGCGTGGGTGCCCCGATAACAAATAATACTAATAAAACATAGTAAAAACAGTCCTTATAAAGCGCTTACCACCGGAGTCTCTGAGCGCTATTAGTCGAAATGTGTCTATACCCCTCGACCGTCTTATCCCCTCACCTCTTATTTTTCTTCTCCTTCTCCTTTCCCCCCTCTTCTCCTTCCTATCTTCTCCTTTTTTCATTTCCCCTCGTCTTTTCTGTATTCTACTGCCTTTGCAATATCCTCTCTCTCTATTCTTCTATTCCGTATTCTTGTTCCACATCTACATGGATTCATGATATTACTACCACTAATTTCGAAATACAGGTATAGAAAGATTTATTGAGGATTCTGTAAAAAAAAAAAAAAAAGGGGGGGGGGGAGACATTAAAAGAACACACAGAAGTTGCCGAAGTAATGAGCTTCGAATAAATATTATATGAATTCGCAATTGTGGTAATTCCAGATTTGATGTCAGATTAGAGCCATTAATCTAGGCGCGAGCAAATATTTATCCGTCTTCAAAATTAATAAATAATGCTGGTAAACTTCATGGATTGGGTGAATATACAATGATTCCTACCTCTTTTCATGAAATGATTGTGACAAGAATGGTTTATTCTTAATAGATAAACTTTGTATCTAGTCAGAACTTGATTGATCGATCTCTATAACGAGTTTTAAGATTGATCAATAAAGTAATGAGAAGATATAATCTGTATCTATCACAATCAAATCATGAAAATAGGTAAAGAAATTATTTATTCCACCTGTATGTGCACTAGTGTATATGTTTCATTGTGCAACTCGATGAACTAAATTTAAAATGATAATCAGCACGATAACATTTTTATGGTATAAATTTTAATAAGTATGTAAACGACGTTGATTCATAGGTTCAAAAAGTTTGTTTTTGTATTTCATTTCTCTTCTCTCTCTCTCTCTTCTCTCTCTCTTCTCTCTCTTCTCTCTCTCTCTTCTCTCTCTTCTCTCTCTTCTCTCTCTTCTCTCTCTCCTCTCTCCTCTCTCTTCTCTCTTCTCTCTCTCTCTCTCTCTTGCAAAAAAAAAACCTCAGTGTTTTAAGCAAAACTTTTCTTCAAAACATCCGCTATTGAAAGACTAACCTGTCATGATAGCTGATCTGCTGGGAGTACAGACGGCATCGCCCACGTATCCATTGGTAAATCGTAGACCCTCGGCGGCCATCTGGTCGATGAAGCCAGGTTCCTGCGACGGGTGACCGTACGATGTTAGGTCGCCAGATCCCATGTCGTCGGCGACGAGGAGGACGACGTTGGGCTTGTCGAGAGGGGAGCGATGTTCATCGCTCTGCAGGAGGAGAGACAGCAAATCTGGGTTTCCCCTCAACAGTTCAAGGAGATCGGGGTCTACTGTCTGGGCGGTGACCAGGCCGAAGACGCCCAGGAGGAGAAGGAAAGGGGCGGCCGCCGACTTCATTATTTTTCTGTCAAACCTGTCAGGGAGAACGCTAGGAAGACAAGTGAAGCTAGCGTCAGAAGATTAAATGTTTTATAGTCAACGTTTTTTCGAAAGATTCACTGATGCAAGGCGATACTACGACTTTAATATCAAACAGTCATGCATAGGCTGTCTACTCCATTTGTTTCCAATACAAAGGCATTTTTCGAATCTGGAGTCGACACCCTTTGTTCACTTTCCCTTAAAACGGTTTTTAAGTTAATCATCGAGATTATCATGGCTTAGTGTAGACATGGTGATCGAAAAAAAACATGAATAGCCTGTCTACTCCATTTGTTTCCAATACTAAGGCATTTTTCGAATCTGGAGTCGACACCCTTTGTTCACTTTCCCTTGAAACGGTTTTTAAGTTAATCATCGAGATTATCATGTCTTAGTGTAGACATGGTGATCGAAAAAAACAACTTGTTGTTGTTCTAGTACCTGGAAATGTGAGGTTTAAAAAAAAAAATTGGGACAAGGTATAGCTTGTCAGAAGAGATTTGCTGAAAGAACAATTCATTTAAATGTTTGACATTTCCTCCAAAAGCTTAAAGATAAAAGTTGTTGTTGTTGTTGTTGTTTGTATTGGCAATCAGTCAAGAACTGACTATTATCACCGACGCCTTTCTTTTTTATATTAATTTCTTTATTTCTCTTTTTTCTCTCTTTTTTAAAATAAGAGTATACAAAATAAAATTAAAGTATTTGCTTCTCTCTCTTTTTCTCTTTTTTCCCACTTAAAATGAAATGAAAAAGAAAAAAAGAAAAAAACAACAAAATGTAGATTTTTGTGTCGTGTAGGTTACAGCGTAGTCCTGTCCGTTCTAAGCAGCGCTCAAAATACACGGGGACGGTGGGCGATTCGCCCCCGTGAGCTACATAATCGCCCCCGTCAGGTTGCTCACGGGGGCGATTGCAAAATTAAAAATCGCCCCCGTGGAATTGTAAGATAAAGATTTTCTTTTCTGTTATAACTTTTACACAATATTGAGTTTCAATTTTCAAATCTTAAACCAATGGAATGGAACTTAGATTAGCGTGCACGATTTCTCGTTTCATGAATAGGCCTATTATTACTGGAGGCGATCGCGCAAGGGCAGAAACATGGTCATGGAGAAGTTTTTCGTTGTGAAAGCGTAAACCCGCTGAAATCTGGTGAATTCAAATGACCAGCAAATGATGAACCTCGACCAGTAAATCAATATTAGGGACTTTTAGATGCACGATGAGAACGTGGACTGCAACGTATGACCTCCTTTTAAGGCACTGCCAGTGCTTAAAAGGACGTCACATGTGACTGCCAGTGCCTTAAAAGGACGTAACACGTCCACGTCCACGCAAATCTAAAAGTCCCTATCGAGAAGAAGAGGAAGACCAAGATGTCGTGGAATGATATGGTAACATGGGCAGATCTACGGGGGGGGGGTTAGGGGGTTTAACCCCCTCCTCCCCCGGCCCCCTTGGGCTGCCAAGTGAAAATGCGATATTAAAGCGGGGGGATGCTGGAGAGGAGGACTACTAATCTATTTTATTTTTTTCAGGGGGGAGGGAGGGAGTGAAGCGCCCTTAATCTTAATCTTTGTCTGAGTTCGGTTTACCCCTCCCGCGCAAAGCGCGGAAGTTTTGACGTTTCATTCAATTATTAGAGAAAGCAGACGATTGGGTGTACTGTTCTCGATTCTTAATTCTCGTCTGAATTAAAGATAAACTTGAGTTCTGGTAAAAAAGAAAATGAATTCTCATAGAATCTAACGAAACTTACACTGAATGTTCAAGATTACAAATAAATGTCATGTGCCAAACAATTTTGGAAGAAAATGTATACTGGCTGAGTAATGACCATAGAAAGAAAAGGAAATCAGGGTAGTACTAGCCCCGACACCATGTGTGTTGTCCCATATACATCTATCTGTGTAAGTGATTGTTACTTTACCAAGACTCTGCCAAATTTATGATGATTTTGATGACTCTACAACCTTGCATTACACACCATTACTTACATGCTATATGATCAACTTTTCTGATCCACTTCCACACCTTTTCTTTCACAATGCAATCGCATTACCAGTACTCAAGTTTATCTTTAAGTTTCCCCTTCCCGCTCGAGTAGTTATAGCAGTGAGTACCGGGACGGCCATAGGTTTTGTACACGAATTTGTTCGTACTTATACTATTTCTAATTGACTCGTGTACATTAACTTTTTACGGCGTTACGGCATGTTACGGCGCTATACTACGGATTTACGTTTATGTTTGCTGTACAATTATGTTAACTTTTTTTTAACCGATGAATTAATACAATAATGTGACTTGGGTTCTATTTCTCTAGATAAAAATGTTTTGTATATTTTATCTCTCTTCCCTAGTAACATGACTAAATTGCAATTGTTATCTTTGTATTCAAATCTGTTTTTTATGATGTTTTGAGAGAGTTCAAACATAGCCCTGAACTATAATTATCAAAGTGTTGTGTGAAAGTCCAAAGAACTCGACGGTATGAACAGGGCGGAGTAAAACGAGCTTCATTTGTCGAAAGTCTATTGAGAGGTTCATAAAGTTAATGCAAGATCAATAAGAAACAAGGGTACTATTGCTCAAACGTATTCAAATACAAAAGACACTAGACCTATACAAAATCAATACCCTTTACACATATAGGCTACAATACACTTCCCCGCGTTGCTATGTGAGGATCACAGTATATGGGTCAATACACATTCCTTTATTTAGTTGATCGAACAATAGATATTGATCCAACCTACAACGACGTTGTAAACATTCCTCAGAAAGTCTAACTCAAAGTATAGAAAGGAAGTCGAAGAGTCAAAATTCCATAGACACACATGTTAAAAGTCAGTTCCCAAAAAGAAAATACCTATCATGTACTATTCAAAAGGTCAATAATTCCTAAAAATCTTTAAGTAAAATTCAAAGTATCAAAATTCACATAGAAACATGTTTTGTAAGACACATTTTGCTCGAAAAAGTCCAAAATGAAAAAATCCCTGAGTAAAATTCATAAAGTCACAATCACATTAACAGGCGTGTTATAAGTCAATTTTTATCGAAAAAAATTACAAGTCCTAAATGACAAATCCCTAATTAAATTTAAAAAGTCAAGACCTCGTCAAAACCTCATAGACACGCGTATTATAAGTCCGTTTTTTCTCGAAAATAGACTATGTCAAAGTTAATGTACACGAATCAATTAGAAATAGTACGAAAAAAATCGTGTACAAAACCTATGGCCGTCCCGGTACTCACTGCTATAACTACTAGCGCGAAGCGCGGAAGTTTTGACGTTTCATTAAATTATTAGAGAAAGCAGACGATTCGTTGTACCGTTTTCGACTCTTAATCTGAATTCAGTTTCCCCCTTTCGCGCGGAGCGCTGAAGCCTTGACGTTTCATTAAATTATAAGAGAAATCAAACGATTGGGTGTACTGTTCTCGACTCTTAATTCTCGTCTGAATTCAGTTTTCCCTTCCCGAGCGAAGCGCGAAAAGCTTAGACGTTTGATTTAATTATTATAGAAAAAAGACGAGAAGGCGAACTTTAGACCGTTCCTGAAACGGTCTAACCGGCAAACGGCGCTTTATATGGACCGTTCGACCACACACGGCGCAATCAAGATCAGTGCAGTCGTCACGGTAACCTATTGGCCCCCTACCTCCCCTAGATTGCGCGGGCGGGAAAAATTGTTCTGCATTGCTAGCGCGAGAGAGCGGAGCATGCATGCGGTGCAATATGCAGAAGACTGCGTGGCCGGCCGGGGCGCGGCCTATTGCATTTTGTGTATATAGTGGGATTCTTATTATTCAGAAGTTTATGAAGTGCTTGTTCGCGCACGTCGCGCAACTATTCTTAATGATAGTGACATACTGTATACGTGTAGGCTATACAGTTATACATACATAAAAAAATAACTAATTTCTAATGCATTAGGCCAAATAAAAAAACAACATGTTTAGCGTCCTGTTTTTTTGAAAAATAGGAAGGAGGAGGCCCTTTTTTTGTTTTTTGTTTTCTTTCAAAATGGCCGCTCAAAATGGCCGCTCGGTACATTTTCCCTCACAGTCGGGCTATTTTTCAAAATGGCCGTCGACATTTTTTTTTTTTTTTTTTTTAATCAGAAATAGATCCATTTAGTAGGGTTTTTCATGTTTTTTTCTTAAAAAACAACAAAAACAAAAACAATTAAAACAATTTCACCAAAAAAAAAAAAAAATAGGAGGCGGCCCCCAAAAAGGAAGCAGGCGGGGACGCTAAACATGTATATTTTTTTACATGACCTTAGGGGTTAACTTTTTTAGTGCTTATAATACATCCACAGGGGCATCCAAATATATAAAAATTGTAAAGATTCACTATCCACCTAATTTTCAAAATTTCCCAAAACTTTGTAATACCTTTAAGCATACTTTGAATCTGGTCAACTTTGCTTCTGTTGATGATCAAATAGAGAAAACACCCTTTAGAGATCAGGGAGATTGTGATAAAAGCACACAATGGGATCAGTGCAATTTAAATAACAGGGGATGGATTAGAGTTTTTTCTAAAATGAAATGAAAGGGCTATTTTACTTTCAAGAGTCCTTTCACTTCATTTACGAAATAACCTCTCTTTATATCTTAGATTTAGAGACACTTTTTTTTAGGCATTATCTTCAAAAATCCGGACAGCTTAAACGGTATTATCCTTACAAATAACGTCTATAATCACTCTGAGATGGAATAGAATACCAATACGGATCTAATTAATCCTGTTTTTTCTACATACACCAATGCCCCGGGCCCATTTAAGCATACTTTGAATCTGGTCAACTTTGCTTCTGTTGATGATCAAATCAGGAAGCTGTAATTAATGGAGATCCCGTCCAAGAGGCCCCTTTGAAGTCGTCCGTGGCACCGCGCGTCTTTTGTTTCCCATACCGTAATCCCCTTAACCCCCTCCGAAACCGTACAGCTCCCTAGTAGCACTAAGTCTTCCCTTTTCACACACAGCCCAGCCCAGCGAGCACGGCGGCTTTTGC